CCTGATCTCTGTGACCTAAACTTGGGGGAAAAAATCAAAAAGAAAATATGTGTTGTGGCTTGAATGTCCCCTGCAAAGCTCAAGTTCAATTTTAATTGCTATTAACAGTCCTAGCAGGTAGGACCATGAAGAGGTGATTTGATTAACAGCACAGTCACTGTGAACAGATTAAAGCCATTATTCCAGGAATAGGTATCAGAAGGAAAAGTTCATCCTAAAAAGAATGGATCTGGTTCCTTTTTCTGTGTGTCTCCAAAGTTCACTTACCATTCCACCATGGGATAATGTGTTGTGAAGACCCTTGCCAGATTCAAACACGCATGCTCTGGAACTTCCCAGTCTCTGGATCCATTAGCCAAATAAGCTTCCGTTCTTTGCAAATCCCTAGAGAGTGGTATTCTGTACTTGGAGCAAAGCATGGACTCAGATCACAGTACTTTTCTTCAGACCAGTTACTCTATGTTGAAACTTGATGAAGATTGATTATTTGTACTTGATCATTTGCCAAATCCCAATAAATAGTAATTAACTATCTCTTGGAAGTTTACTTGAGTCCTTAGAGGAATAACTCTGTCCTGTAAGTTTAGAATCAAAGTCAGAGAGAGAGAGGAAATGGATGTTGAAATATGAATTAAGCTTCAGTTAGGCATGAAATGCCACCAAGGACCATCTAGTGAACAGGGATATAATCTGAAATGTTAAGGATGTATGGGTAGAAGGCTCCAACATGACTATTAGAGGACAGGTGTTTTGGAGTGGCAAGTTTATTTATTCAATGAACATATGTTGATCATTTTCCTTCCATAATGAATTGCGTTGGATGCTAACGGAACAAACGTAACTAAAACAGAATTCAAATTCTCCATGGATTATAAACTAGCAAAGGTTCTTAGAATGCTGGCTAAAAGAAAATTATGCTAGAAATGTTAAGTTGCCCATTATTCCATTAGGTCATTTGTCTTTTCTCAATTTTTGAAAGCTTTTGATGTTGGTTCATTATCTGTATACATGGCATATTTCTTTTTCATGTATGAATCTAAGTTTTCCTTTAATGAAAAATTCATGTTAACATGGCAATACACAAATGTTCTCTGCTGTGACTAAAACTCACGTGTCTTATTTAAGAAATAACTCTCTGTCCTGAGGTTAGAGAAAGTAAGTATTCACTCGTATTTTGAAAACCGCAAGGATTTCTTTATTAAATTTAAAATCCGAACCCATCTGAAGTAGGATTTTTCTGTGATGTGAGGTAACAATTCATTTTCTTTTTTGCACCCTATTTCCCATCTCCTTTTCCCCTCAGGGATCTGACATATTCGGTAACCCCCAAATGTATAAGTTACTTTGGAGGCCCTTACTCTTCCATTAGTCAGTACCTTTATAAGTAAACTAATATTGCAAGGGTACTTCCACACATTCATGGAAAAATGGGGGATACATGACTATCACAGGTCCTTGAAGACTACACATCATAAACTGTCTTATAATATTCCTTATAGTATTCCTTGATATGTTGAATAAAGGTCACTCCTTTTCATCTCTTTCAAAAATGTCTTGGCTCTTTACTCTTCTGTCAATAAACTTACGATTCATAGTATACGACTGGCATTTTTTCAGAAGAGTTAATGTATCTGACTAGTAAACATGAAAAATAGCTGGACCTTTAAAAACCAAAGAATATAAATGAAGACCCAAGGAGATACTAGATGACTGTATTGCCAAAAATCCCAAAGTCCGGTAGTATGAAGTGTTGGAGAGGATATAGTTCTATGTAATGTGAAACACTGCTGGCAGGAATAGTGAGTGTTGCAAACTGTTTGAAAACAAAATGAAATCCAATGAGATTCAACATTTGCCACTCTTTAGCTTTCTAGACCTGGTTCCCATCTGTATCCACCCTTCTCTGTGTTTTTGGAAGCTGGTTCTTTCACACTTACTTCCTTCATCGTATTCCCTTGCATTGTGCCTTTTCTTTGGGTTCTACTATTAACTGAATCAGACATAGAGAGTAGAATTCCAGGCTGAGAAAACTTATCCTCTAAGTAATAAAAAGGGGGAAAAAGATCTAACGGTTAATAGAAGTGAATGTGCCAAGAGTGAACAAACGAGTAAATTCAGAAGCTTCTGGTTCATTTTCCAAAATTTGAGTATTAGCTGATGAAGTGATGATAGGGATGTTGCAAAGGAAAGAGAAGCTGAGTTAAAAACTGATGCCGTTCTTTGTAGAAGCACAGAAGGCATAAACAAGAGAGGACTTAAAAATCCAAGAGATTTTTCCATCTCAGATTTTCTTAAACATTTCAACTATAACCTTTTAAGGTAATGTGAAGAACTATAAGCCATTTCACACAATACCCATAATAGCTACATTCATGTTAAACAATTCAAAGTGCCGTCATTTGGGGGTTGGGGAGGGGAGCTCTTCCCCGTGCTTACTGTGAACTAGCAATTGAATATGAGAACAAAGCTATTACTTTTCAGATAATGGTTGGACATTAGATACATCTTTAATTGTAATATTAGCTTCTCAAAAAGGTCATGGAAAACATACTTTGCTTCCCTGAGCATTTTGAAATCCCCTTGCAGGCATTATAGCTGATATTATCCGTGTGTGTGTGTGTGTAGTCGTTGTAGTAGTAGTACTAAAGAAACTGCACTTCAAATCCTAGTGATTTAAATCACATCTTGAATATAAATCACCCTTAAATTCAGAATACACTGTGCTAATCAACACTTCCCTTAAATATTTAAATAGTATTCTATTTCCTGCATTTAATAAAAAATTACCCATCATTAATGATTTCAGTCCTGAGGATTGAGTTGCTAATCCCAGTACTCTATTTATACAATTATTTTTCAAGTATATTGTCTATTTTTATCTTGTCCTTCAACTGCAGTATAGTTCAGGGTTGTCTATTTTTAGTACACTCAAGTACTACACCATGGAAATGCTTTAACACTTTACTATATAACTACAGTGGACCCAGGCTACACCTTTCCAGTAAGTTGCATTGGTCAGTAAGTGACCAGTGATTGGGTGATCTGTGTCTTTGAATGTAATGTTTGATCCAGAGTTTCCTACTTCACCTGTCATTAAAGAAAAATCCATGTAGTCAAGAGTAGGAAATTGGCAATAAAATATTTTACTACATTTACATTTTAGAAAATATCTTAAAAACCATGTCTAAAATAAGATAATACATTTCATACTCATGCTAAAGATAACATAATCATTTTCATAACCCTGGGTTTTGGCTTACTCTTTAGATAGTCTTGAATGGGATCCTAAAATCGCTTTATCTAATTTTTTGAAAAAAAGAATCAGAGAAAAGGTTTACTGTTTGAAAATTCTTTGACAGCCTCTTCTTTTATACATCCTGGTCTATGTGAGCTGCTTGCACAAAAAACCTATGTTCATTTAAGTTGAGATTAAAGTATGGGCCATCAGCATGGTTTGGGACCAAATGCCAAGTGTGTCGATGAGTACTGTGTTAATTTTCTTAATATTCTTACAAATTAATCCAATCAGCTCACTGTAGAAGGCTGAAAGATGGCATGCTGGAATGAGACAGTGGTTGTAGCGTGAATGGGGATGTCCATCAAAGTCATCTTTTGCACCCTGCAAGGGATAACAGAGCCTGCCTCTGACAAGCACTTGCACATTTGTCTTTTGATGTTTTTCCCAGTAGTATTTGTTATCAGAACACAGGACCCTTGAGGCTCACGGAGAGTTGTGCTTTAAAGATTGTAGCAAAATGACAATTCGATTGCTTTCTCAACATTTTAAGTGATCATAAATAAGTGAAATGAAAAAGGAAAAACTAAATGATTCCAAAGATGCCTGTCCGACACATGTTCCTAATATGAAGTTCTACTTGTACAAAAGGCGTCTAGACTCAGTCACCAGGATGTGGGGTAGGAATGGTCAGTGTGGCTTCCATTGGTTGAAATACTGGGAGAAAACTCCACATGAGTGTTTAGAGAAATCTTAGATCAATGTTACATTTCTCATATTGCATCTCCCCTAGGTATAGTAGTTGGAAAATTTTCTGTTCAATTGTTTAATTAATGATTATTTCCCTATTGATTTTATTCTCCATGAGTATACAGACCATATCTACCTTTAATCTTAATCCGTTGTCGATAATCAATTTATTATTGTGGCATTAATGGTGTCTACCCTTACCTATACGCTCTTGTAATTTATTATGGTGACTAATTAATTAATGCATAGTAACCATGAGTAATATTACAAAAGAGGAGTCTTAGACAAAATTTATCATATACTTATCAAGCAGAAAACCAAAATGTGATTCCAGACACTAAAATTTTTCATCTTTACATCTTGCCTTTCATATTAGTTGTATAATAACTGCTTCTTGAAATAATAATAATAATACGTGGATTTATGTTTTTTTATCTTGACTAAATGAGAGATCATTTGAATTCTTCCTCTGTATTATCTCTAAAAATGCCACTCAGATTTCTCTAACAATGTTGTATGAAAATGGTGGTAGCCAACAGTCAAGCTTCACATAAGTATTGTAGAATTTCTAAGAAGACCTCAAAGAAATTTTTGCTGTTCAGATTCAATTTGGTTAAAATTGTCATAGTTTCTAGTTAAACACATTTTACTGTAAATTCACACAAAATATTGGAAAATATGGAATATTTACTTAGTGTTAATAAAAGATGATTTCAAACTGAGAAATTCCTATGAATGACTTTCTTAATGGATTTTTTGAAAGTCTTCATCCAGTGTCCACATATGGAATTCTGGCTTTTAGATAACTACACCTCCTCCTTGGGTCTTTATTACCCTGTCTATGGAGGCAGATAACTCTGACAACATTCTCTGAATTTGTATTCATCATGTATTTTAAGCTTTGTTTGATTATTGTTTCTGTTTAAGAGATTTCTGCAGGAAACTGGCAAATTTTACTGTTTCATTAATGATATAAACCTTATAAAATCTTATAAATCTTATAGAAATACAAGACATTAATTGTGTATGATTATAATACAATAGCTTGTCTCAACATTCTACTACATAATAAAATATAGTAATGTATAAGATGTGTTGTTGCTTTTGGTTTCACTCATTAAGGCAGAGGATCTTGAGGAGCACAGGGAGGGAAGGGATTACACTCTGAACCAAGACAGCAAAGAGCTGCATTCAAATTCTGGTGATTCCAGAAGTTTTCTTCTCAAGAGTGTCAAGTTCTTCATTTCCAATACTAAGTTCCTTTTTCAAAGGTTTGGTGTCTTAACATATGAGGGTATGTCAAACAGAATGTTGCGGGGGAAAGGAAAGGAAGGGAGAAATAATTTTATTATTCTGTAAAAAAATTTTAAAATGTGTGCAGTTTTTCTATTATATGCATTTTCATGAACTTTAGGAAGATTCTGCTTATGCATGGATGTGAAGGACCAATCATACCAATATTACAAATATCAGTGAATTGTTCTAATACAGTCATTTTAAGGAGAAAAATAACTCTCCTTTCTCAATATCCAGATTCCATTTAAGTGATACTATCTCTCTATGAAGAAATAGAATGAGCTATGGTGAAGTGACTTGTGTAAATGATCTCATTCGGGAGGCACCAAGGGGACAGAGGCTTGTCACTGCCAAGTAAGTCACATTTAAATTCCCTCAAGCCTTGGGAAATAATGTGAGGGAAAGAGCAAAAATAGCACAGTCATTCCTTTGGATGAAGTCGACTTGTGGGCCTCTTGAGAGCGTCGCAGCAGCTGTGTGTTCATCTGTATGCAAAGAGAAATAATAAGAATCTTCTGTATTTGGCACATGGTGCTTTTCTCTATATCAGTGCATTCATCGATACAGTTTATGCTGAATCTATCTGTAAGGAAAGATCCACTACACACACTGTCCTGTGAACGGCCAGAGATGTTTATTGAAGATGTCTTTTCTGCCCGCAATACAGAAAATTGCAGGAGCACACAGCCATACTTAACCAACCAGAGTGAAAGTAGAGGCAGCTGGATCTGATTGAAACCGTGGCAGGAATTGAGATTGACAGAGTTGCAGGGCTAGGAGGTTAATGAATCCATAGTCCTGCCTCCAGGCAGAACTGTCCTAAACCATTCCAGGCAAATGACAGCTCGGCCTCTTGAAAAAAAGAAAAAAAATCTCTGTACCAGGCTTCAGTAACTTATTCTTGTCTAAATGTTCTTTTCCTCATAAAGTTCTGAGAGTAGTTTATGTCCATACTCTCCTCTGTTTAATCTCCATATTGATATATATAAAGTATTTATTAAAGTATATATGTATATAAATGTATATCTATGAAGTGTGTGTGTGTGTATATATATGTATGTATATATAGTAATAAATGGGGGGCCATGTCAAAGATGATGATGAGAGCCTTAGAAATGGCCCACAGACATGGCTATTACGAGAGAGCTTGTAGAAAACAAAACTTAACAAACCTGTTGTATACTTTAATGATCTGAGTTTCAGTAGTAAGTCCCACTAACATGGCTCATTAAATGAACTCTTGTTTTGCACTTCAGAGCAAGAACTATGGATTTGGAAACATTATCCTGAGCTAAAACACAATCCAAAAATTGGTTCTTCCATAAAAAGAAGTGCAAAACCAGTCACAAATGGGCCCAAACCGCTTTCCTGCCTGTTTCGTGTTTAGCACTCCAACTTATGGCTGCTTTTAATAGTGGATGACAACCTGCCTTTTGCCTCTGGAAACTGGGGATGATGGGTGTGTTAGTGCTATGGAGAAGAGAGTAGGAGATTTGTGGAATAGCATATCAACTCTGTCTATAACTTACCAGTCATGTGGGTTCCAGGAAACTACTTGATCGCTGGGCTTCATTACCGTCACCTGTAAGGAAGGATTCACAATATTTATTTCACATTAGTTTCGGAAGACAAAATTGTGTAATATTGGTAAAATCATTTGGGAGCTAGAGGCCTGAAAATAAATGTTAGTTGGCTGTGAATCTTATCTGTCACATGCTGTCTTTCCTTGTTTCTGTTTCTTGTAAGTTCTCAGAAATGACTGAGGGCAAGACAAACCTACCTCTTGTGAATGTCACTACATTTTTTTTAAGATTTATTTTGTTTTATTGGAAAGGCAGATATACAGAGAGGAGGAGAGACAGAGAGAAAGATCTTCCATCTGATGATTCACTCCCCAAGTGTCTGCTACAGCTGGTGTGAGCCCATCCGAAGCCAGGAGCTTCTTCTGGGTCTCCCAAGGCTTTGGGCCGTCCCAAGATCCCAAGGCTTTGGGCCGTCCCTGGCTGCTTTCCAAGGCCACCAGCAGGAGCTGGATGGGAAGCAGGGCTGCCAGGTACAGAACCAGTGCCCATATGGGATCCCAGATGCTTTCAAGGTGAGGACTTTAGATGCTAGGCTACCATGCGGGGCCCGAGTGTCACCAGATTTTGTCTCTACCGTATAAGTCAATTGGGCAGAGGAAAAGGGACTGCAAGAGCAAGGAGCCCTTCTAATGGCAGCTTAAAGCTGCTATTTGGTGTTCAATTTGAATTTCTACAAATCAGTACAAGTTATATTTTTGCTAAAGAAAAGTAGATGGAACTCAAGTTGTAAAACACTACATTCAGTTTACTAGGCCATTGTAAACTTCGTGCAAAGGATACAAAATTGATTCAAAGATTGACTACATTTTATTTCATGGAAGTAAGAAGGAAGACTATCATTTACTGTTCAGTAGAAGACACTACTGTCTGTAGTACCTAGAATATATTTCAATTAAACAAGCATGTTTACCTAGATAAAATAAATAAATGTAGAGATACATAAGCTATAACTCAGAACTCTGTTATCCAGAGGCAGCCATTGATAACATCCAGATACATTTTGATTTTTTTTTCTGCACATTTGACAGGACTGCTTTCAAGTCCAAGTGCTGTCACTTGCTAATTTTTTAGCAAGTTGTTTAATTTCTTTGTCACTGTATCTGTAAACTACTACCACCTTCATGGAGTTACCATGAAGATTAGAAAACTAATGCATATAAATTCCTTTTACTGTACAGGATACATTGTAAGATTTTGGTCAGGTCCAATACTGCTACTGCTGTTATTTGTATTGTATTTTTAATGGAAAATAGGAGTACCAGAAGAGATGAAAGTTATAAGTACTTTGTTGCTTCCTGGGCTAATGGAGTCCATATAATAAAGAAGGCAACACATTTTTACTTAACAGTAGCATTGACTACTTCATATTTACAGTGTAGTCCCAGCCACTATGATGCCATAACTTATTTAATTCTTATGAGACAAACCTATGACACAGTTACTACTATTATTATTGTTCTTTTTTTTTAACATTTATTATTTTTTTTTTATTGGAAAGGCGGATATACAGAGAGGAGAGACAGAGAGGAAGATCTTCTGTCCCATGATTCACTCCCCAAGTGAGCGCAACGGCCGATGCTATGCCGATCCGAAGCCAGGAGCCTCTTCTGGGTCTCCCACATGGGTGCAGGGTCCCAAAGCTTTGGGCTGTCCTGGGCTGCTTTCCCGGGCGTGCAAGGCGAGGACCTTAACCATTGCGCCATCGCGCCAGGCCCTATTGTTCTTATTTTATAGATGGCAAACACAAGGGAAAATCAGATTAAGTCACAAGTAAAGTCTAAGCTGAGTGGCACATCTGGGATGTCCATTTTTCTAAGTGGTTACAGGAGACATTAATATGTAGCAAGCATATGCGTAGATCTTATGGTTAAAGCCAGATATTCTGAGGTCATCAATAATTAACTATAAAAGGGCTAGATAGATAACTAACAAGAGAAAAGTAGAAAATAAAATGTTTCACAATGTTCCCAATTGGTGATTTATGCCCAGTCAGCAAAGTTACAGGACCTCACACTCTTTCCATTTCTTCTGAACTTTTTCTAGGTAACTGGAAGTGGTTGGGCAGCCAGCAGTGTTCTAGGAAAAATAATCCTTTCTGACTCTTGGAAACAGAGTGTGTTGTAAGAAATATCTTTGGCATAAAACAAGGCTGGTGTGGGTTTGAAAACATAACTAGATAAGCCAAACCTTTTAAGTCTTCTTTTTCCTTTGAAATGAATTCCAGAATATGTTTTATGTGTTGAAATCTAGCATTCATTTTTATCTTTATTTCCACATGATATTCCATTGAGTTAATGTAATAATACTATTGAAATAAACAAGATCCTCTCTATTCCCAATTGAATAAGAGGGTGGTTCCATGTTATCCGAGTTGGTCTACTCATCCATTGTTAAACAGTGAGGGGAGAAAGGTGGATGAAGAAAAGGCTCTAAAAAACCATGGGGTGGGCAAACGACATAACTAATTGCTGCAAAGTTTTAAGGAAAATGGCTATGTTCATATACATTGCCAAGGAAAGTGTAAATTAGTATGTTTCTTTTAGAAAACAATTTGGCAATACTAACAAAATGTACTATAAATGTCCTACCATTTGGCACAGTTCTCCCATCCCTGGGATTTTATCCTGAGACAATAATTAAAGAGAAAACATATATAAATGTTGCAAGAATTCAAATGTACTGTTAATTACAACTGAATCCTCAGGAGCAAACTGATTGTTCAACAATACACAACTGAATAAATAGGTACCTGCTCAATATCTTGCTCCTTCAAGAAATTATAAACATGAGCTATATATAGCATATAAAATTAAAAAGCTAAAAGCAGAACACTTTGGAAGTCACGGTGTTAAAAGTTTGACAACACCATGCTGGACTTTCTACCATTGTCTACACCTACAATGCCAGGATACACTTAACTGGTAGAGTGACAGACCTGTGACTGAAGAACTATACTGTTGTAACAGTATAGGGGAAATCAGTGGGGTAGGGAATGGAGAGCATGGAGGGGAAATCCCTGAACCTACTCTGCAACTGCATCATAAAAAATAAGTAAATAAATATGTTCTCTATATTTTTTTCTTCTTTTATTTCCTTGAGTGTCACTTGGGAAATGTAGCACAATTATAAACAAGAAGAATATATGAAAAAAAGTGACTTCTTTGTCTTGAGAGGAGCAGGTAAGCCTTCCTTTCCCCTCCTTCGAAGACAAAGTGCCAGTTTGCCAAGGAGGGATTTGCTTAGGACATACATATGAGTTAGTCACCAACTGAGAAAAGAGATTGTAGATGAGATTCTGGAGTAAGGTCTTCAATTTATAGGAATATTTTACTTCAAAAATTAGGTTATGGGCCTGGCACGATAGCGTAATGGTAAGGTCCTCACCTTGAACGTGCTGGAATCCCATATGGGCGCTGGTTCTAACGATGGCAGCTCCACTTCCCATCCAGCTCCCTGCCTGTGGCCTGGGAAAGCAGCTGAGGACAGCCCAAAGCTTTGGGACCCTGCACCCACCTGGGAGACCCGGAAAGAAGTTCCTGGCTCCTGGCTTCGGATGGGCGCACCACCAGCCAATGTGGCTGCTTGGGGAGTGAATCATCAGATGGAATATCGTTCTCTCTGACCTCCTCTCTGTACATCTGCCTTTCCAATAAATTAAATAAAACTTTTTAAAAAATTAGGTTATGCCATGTCTTGAAAAAGAAGACAAAGCACCACAGTAGACACTACAGCCCCTCTCTTTCCTCGGCACCAGCTGACCTTGATGATCAAGAACTTTCTGTCTCCCATTTTGTTAGCTGTTCAGCTATTAATTTTTTCTCTTTGTTGTTTGTTATCCAGAGCTGATTCTCTAATGCACAATGCACCTTTTCTCTCATCCTGTTTTGTGTCACTTAAAGATACCATGGCTAACTAGTTATATTTTCGTTGTTAGTACAGAACAGAAGACTAACTCAATGCTGATTTTAAGCAGCATTTTAGTTGCTGAATTTCTGAGAAGCACTAAATGATAATGGCTCTGTGTCACTAAGAATATCTTCTAATTATTCTCATCTTGCTTTCAAATTTTCTGTTGCAAACAGAAGATAGGCTTTGAATGTCCGTATAATTATATAGTTTAAGTAGATGGTTCCTGGGGAAATTAACTGTTATTTTCCACCTACCTGTTCATAAGAGTTCTTGTCATTTACTTTGCATAGTGGGATCTTACAGTTGAACAGTATTTATATTTTTCTGTTGTGTTGAAGTAAAACAGTAAGGTATCCACTTTGCATTAATGCTAGTCACTCATTTTTTGTCATTCATTTGCAAATTTTTCCATTACGAAGTGGGTCAGTGCCTAAGGTGCTTCTGATATTAATAAATATTATCAAATGGATTTTTATTTTATTCTAAAGTCTTGATAATGGACAAGGGATATAATTTTATTCTTTCAAATTTGGACATTTAACTCTAAAAATACAATCTTAGCACAGAAATGCATGCTTCTCCAAATGGGAGTGTAAGACCATGGGATGTTCCTTCTGTTTAAGGGTGATGTGTCACTCATGCCTGCTTAGCTGTGACAGGGGACTGCTCCAGCAGCACTGTCATGCAAAAACATGAAAACGTTTTGCTCTTCATTGAACAATTCTCAGTTGGAATACTACAGAAAGCAAAATCTTACCTTTATCACTCTCTGCTTTTCTGCTCTGGAATATGAGGATTCTTCATTTCTAAACCACTTCTAGGTGTTAATATAAGTCCACAATAAAGATGATTATTTTATATATTAAAAAACATAAAGGATACCACATTGTGGTAAAAACAGAAAGATGTTTTCAAGACAGACATGTGTAAGTGACTTATGCTTTGACATTTGAAGTTTACTGTTATAGACTATGACTGAATAATAAACTAAAACAGAAGTGGAAGGTTTTTACATCTGTACGGAAATCAGGCCCTGAAAGCTTCAAGGCAAATACTGGATATTCCTACTACCATGATGGTGGAATGAGAGGGTGCT